TACATGGAGGCGGTTAAGAGAAACACCAAAAAAGTAAAGTAAAGAGAGAAACAAGACGAATGCGACACTCACCATCAATGACGGAGTAGAACATCGCCATCTTGCCAGGCCGCCTCCAGGAGGGGCTCATCCCTACCCCGGACAGAAGCACTTCAGAGTAATCTTCAGCAGTTACTTGCACACTTTTCAGGTAATCGGCGACTTCTTGATTGTGAGGGAAGAGCTTAGGGACAATATCGGCGAAAGCATTGGCACGATAACTACCACTCCCAACCAGTTCCTGATTCACCCACAACCACTTGTCTTGCCAATTCTTCGGGGTGCGCCCATCAGGAACTAGGGCATGTCCTCCTCGCCGGGCCGAAAAGGTACACTTATCTCCGGTAAGCCAGAACCGGAAGAAGAACTTGAAGACGAAGTAGTCGGGAACATACCCATTGGCTCTACAGATCATCTCGAAGGCAACCACTTTGTTGACAGCATTAGGGGTCAACATCTGAAGACTATAGCCATCCTTCTGAAGAACCTCCTCTTGGAAATCTTTCAAAGGAAATCGTATGCTAGCATCTAGGGTTTTTAGAAAAAACCCCAATTTTTCCAGGGGGGGAGAAGAGATGCTAGAGCCAGCAGAGGGAAACTCCACACCTTCTAAAGGAGACAAGCCATAAGTGGCCTCCAACTGATGATACTCGACGGCAGAAGGGATAATTCCGGGAAGATTAGCCATGAAAGGAGAGAAAGGACGAATACGCAGGGAAAAGAGGGAAGAAATGGTGAGAATCGTTCTCCGTAAATCCCCTTTAAAGGAAGAGGAAGAAGTGGGACATTTAAATGTCTGACAAGCTGACGTAACCGTTAGCAGTCACGCGCAGTCACGTCGCCATTAAGAGCGGAGTAACGACGGACATGCGTCAATCAGTTAAGTCCAGAACGTCGTAACTAGCGCTGCAACGCTACGGCTACTAGACTGGGGGACTTGATGGCGTGCCTAGGGTAGCACAACAGAACCGCGTCCAAGCCCTAGAGTCGGGCACACCAGCCAGGCTCAGCCCAGCAGGCTCAGCGCCCGCTAGCGCCCCCGGGAGCAAAACAGACAGGCGGAAGGCTCGCGCCCGCCAAGTAACGCTCCTTGCTCCAAGACAAAAGATATGGTCAGGAGACAAAGGGCAGGATCAGAGCATTACCATCGGAGCCAATGAGAGCGCTCTAGCGGTTGAGGGCGCACGACCTTCCAATCAGTGCCTCTGACCTTGTCTCCTCTAAAAGTGATCCTGTCTGGTACGGACCAGGCAGGAGCGCTAGGTATAAAAGGATGTGCACACAAGACCAGCGAGCTAAGATCTCTGACTGATCTTGAGAGAAAAAACACAAACCCTAAAGTCATCCTAACTTGACCGTCAGAGCGTTCTCCCGGGAACCCCTCCCGGGAAACGGCTGATGGCCCTTGTTCTTTGTGATCTTGCAGTTATAATCAGGCAACCAAGAAGATCTCATCCCAGAGTCAAAAGCAAGGTCTCATCCGGGACAAGGTTCCATCAGTCGGTATCCTGGTATATAGGATGATGCTATGCTAGTGACCGGTTAGGTCGGTATCCTGGTTAGGATGATGATATGTTATGTGATCTGCTAGATCGGTTTGATTGGATGTGAATTGTTATATGATTGAATGTTTATGTGCACATGGTTGTTGGACTGGGATTGGGTTGAGGCGACTCCTGCTTTGTGATGTAGACCAACATACCCAGGGCGGACCGGTTATCCCGAAGGCCCAGCGAGCGGTCTAGATAGGCTGTAGGCCCCAAGAGGGCGGACCAGACGTGCCGAGGCTCGGAGAGTGGACCTGGCCGACTGAAGGCCCGGTGCGAGCGGACCAGTCATATTGTAGACTCAGAGAGTGGACTAGGTGGATAGAAGGCCCGGTGCGGCAGACCAATCACACTGTAGACTCGATGTATATGGATAGACTCGGAGGGTGGACCAGGTGGACTGAGGGCCCGGTACGGCGGACCAGTCACACAGTAGACCCGAAGTGCATGGTTGTTTTGTGTTCTGTTATGATATGGCATGTTATGTGTGGTTGGTTTTTTGGGGTATCTCACTAAGCTTACGGGCTTATAGTTGTGGCTTAATGTTTTTTAGGTACTTCAGGAGACTGTGGCAAGGCAAAGGCATGATCGTACCGCTCCTCATGTTCTTGTTTTATGATATGGTTCTAGGAATACTCTGATAATAAATGTATTGAAAACCTTTTTGTAATAACTTAATGAAATTGGGTGGTTTTTGAAAAGTTTAAATTGGCTTGGATTTTAGAGTGTTACATTGCATCTTTTACAAGTGCTCTCTACTTCCCACTTTAGCAGTTATCATATTCGTTATGATCTCATAGCGCTCTTGCCTCGTGCTTTGGTGGTATCGCTCCATCAAGTCTAGATGCATCTCATAAGGATACATGTCCTCGTAGTACTTTTGGAATTCGGAGTTCGTTGTGGCTATCATGATGCAATGGACTTTCGTTGCATCACGTTCATGGGTCTCAAAGACAGCCATTTCTTCGGGAGTAGCAGTTTCTAGATTGATCTTCTCGAGCTTCTCATCGAGAACATACTCCTTGTCCTTGTAACGCGCGATTGTGCGAATGTATCTTATCCATTCGCCAAAAGTTCGATCCATCAAAAGTCACTTTTTAACAAAGGCTCATTAGCGTGAATGAGCTAGCAGCAGCGTTGTTTGCGTTAGACATCTACAAATAGAAAGGAACAAAGTTGATTTGAATTAAGTCCCTAATTAATCACCCAAATGAAAAATTTAGGGCTAGGACCCAACAACATTATTTACACATTAGAAAAGGGATACCGTAATCCCATATGCAAATAATTTGGAGGTAAGTGAATGACGATTCACTAATTCTTCACCATGAAAAACATAAGCTTTAAGTTTTAAATGTATTTAGAATTCCTAGATTTCTTTGAGATTCATTGAAACCTTTCAATGGCATGTTTAAATCTCGATATGCCCCTCTAGTTTGTGACTGGGATACCGAGGATCACAAAGCGGGTATGAATAACCATGCAAATTTACATGGTGCCTTCATTGTTACAATCACCTATTCGATATGCCGATAAACCACACACGCTCCACCGAACTATGATAACCAATGAATCACCCTTTTCCACCTTTGCTTAGAACCAATTAGTGTGTCGGTTAACCATACATGCTCCACTAACTTCTTAGCAAAGGTGCAAAGTGTAATTTCATGGGATTGCATCAATTCACTTTTCCTAGAGTAACTAAGATTGGAAATTTTTAAAAACACGTTTAGTTACTTTATTTAGTTTCATTATACTTATTAATGAGAAGAGGTTTGCCCTATCGTACCCGTTCGGCTAACGACCCTCCACCAGTCAAGCAAGTGGTGGTGTGAGTGTACACCCATTAAGCGCCATTTTATAGACAGCAACCTTATACCCACCTTATAGACTGGCTTCGTGAATGAGGCCTACTAACGGTAAGACTAGCATCTTTAATTATACATACATACATATATATATATATATATATATATATATATATATATATATATATATATTAAACTTGTATTATTATATTAGTATAGTGTTGAATTTTAAACTTGTAAAATTCTAGGGTTTGAAATTTAAATCATTCAAATTAAACTTTTAATCACAAAACTTAAATTTCAAAACTTGAGGACAAGTTTTAAACTTTTCAAAACATAAGGATCAAATAGCAAATAATATAAATCAACTAATTAGATTATCTCAATTTGATCTTATTCAACATTACTTGCAAGACAATTCACCAATTCAAATCAAATAATCAATTATTATCATATAAGGAAATTATTATTCAACTAATTGGTAATTATCTTTTATTAGGTCAAGAATATACTCATATATATGTTCAAAATCGAATTTTAATGACCCAAAATAGTTAAGACAAGTTTCCTCAAGTAAAACAACAAGAAATCCCGAAACTCCCTCTTTCTGACGCTCGAACTCGTCGAGTTCCCACTATGGACTCACCGAGTTGGAGCTACTCGCCGAGTCCACAGTGGAACTCGCCGAGTTCATCAGGCAGAAGCACAAAAATCGAATTTTTTAAGCAACGAGCAATCAATCAATGCATAAATTCAATAGAAATCAATCAAAGCTCTGATACCACTGATGGGTTTGAGCCATAAGAACTTTCCTATATGCACATGCAAACCCTAATTGCTTGGATCTAGGTTTCTCTAATTGAACATGCATTGAATCCAAGACTTACAATACTAGATCTAATGTAAACAATTGAATCTAATCATACGAAATTGGATCTAGAACAATACCTTGGATTACTTGCTTGATACTTCTTCTTCTTAGAGCTTAGAGTCACAATTGTCACTCCTCTAATGGCTTACAAACACCAACTAGCAAGAAGATGATCTTGAGAGAGAGAGAGAGAGGAGGGTGAGAAATCGGCCCTAAGGTTACTAGGGTTTCACCTTAAACCCTAATTGAATAACTTAGGCCTTAAGCAATCCAAGATCCTCCTAGATACTAGGCTTGGACGATTTTAAGGTTCCCAAACCCTAAATTTCATCCACCCTCGAATCCATAAGGATACATAGCCCAAAACACAACTATCACACATTTGACAGTTTATGCCCCTTTATTCAATTAACCTTTTTAAGTCATCAAATTAATTCTTAATTAATATATGACTTATATTAATCAAATAACAATATTATTTCTTTAATATATTATTCTCATAATATATTAACAATAATATCTCTTCTCTCTTAACAAATCATCCTGTCAAGTTGTTATGGTGAAGACAACCCAAAAGGACCATGCACAACCGGATCAAGTACTTACCAAATATAGTTATAGCTTTAGACACTAATCTAACATTTTATTCACATAAAAAATCATATTAATAAATTTGGCCTCATTTTATTTTAATTTTAAATGAAATATATACTATTACTAATAAAACAATTAAGATTAATAAATGGAAACATAATATTATTACTTAAAATAAAACATGTTTAACATTAGTTAGCTATAGTATATTCCAATACATTGTATTACAATACACCCTTGTACTCTATTCCAAAACTAGTTTTATACAACCAAGTGTAGTCATCCATTTTTCGGTGTCCCTTCTTTTGACCCTCCATTCTTTTAGTCTTGCAGTAGTAGATTGGTAGTAAATCTTCATGACTCAAATACTCAAAATCATATCAAACCCTAAAACCAGCTTTGGAAGTATAAATAGAAGGAAAACTTTGTACCTGCATATTGCCAATAAGCAAAAAAAATATAACTAGGCATCCAAGGCATACACCACACCAAAAGTAAAGGTATCTTTAAGTCAAACCAAAAATAGAAGTATTTTTCAAATAATGATGCATATGTGACTCCTTTATTAAAAATAAAAATATATAAAAAAAATCCTAAATTTAAAATTAATAGGGCTAATTTTCGAAATACAATTAGCCAAAACCTGAGTTTATTATAACCAAATGTCACGTCCCGGCTCATCATTGATTAGTCAAGTTTCTTCTCTTTTGCACATTCTTCCTTCCAACATGAACATTGGCTCTCAATATCCAATAAATACCATGTTGCTCCAATTACCTGCACTGATAGATTTCATAAAAAGCAAATTAAATCACAAATGATAATTAATATCATGATCATGATAATTGAAGCTTATCTCTCAAATTGCATGCAAAGCATGAAGCTCGACTTCTAATTGCATTTTTTCCTTTCAAGATTGTCTATTTCTTCAGGTTAACTATCAAGTTGTACCCTAACATTTGCACATGCCTCATCCACAAGGTCAATAGCCTTATCAGGCAAGAAACGTGCTGCATACAAATTAACAAGCATTATTAGAACCATATATATGAACTAAGAAGAACAAGTTCAAATCAACAAAAAGAAAGTGAATCATTAAATCAGTTCATACCTGTTGTGTATCGGCTTGAAAGCTCACATATCCAATGCGATAACTCTCACATCAGCAAGATTACTTGGGACATCTCTTCTTAGAATCCTTTGAGCCAATCCATCAACAACAACAGTTTTTCCCACACCAGGTTCACCAATAAGAATAGGATTGTTCTTTGTCCTTCTTGATAAAATCCTAATCACTCCCTTAATTTCTTCATCTCACCCAATTACAGGGTCAAGCTTCCAGGCTTGCTCCACAAAATCACGACTATATGTCTTAAGAGCTTGAAAATTAGTATCCCCTGAAGCACTTTCCACCTTTTTCCCTTCTTTAACTCGAAGCTTTTCTACCTCATTTTTCACTCTCGATGCACAGCACCACCAGACATTGAAAACATATATGCCTCTTAGACATAGAAAACATATACGTCTCTTCTTTTTCGCCCCCTGCTAATCGTAGCCCTATTATCAACGCAAGAAGATGAAATCGCAAAACCCAAAACACTCTTTAATAGCTTGAACAGACAAGCCTATGTTTCCAAGGTCACTACAATCAAAAAACACAAATTTCTTCATATGACGTTATTAAGATAAAATCAAGTTGAACTTTTAACTTTTGTTTGATGATTGTAACAGTACATAAGAAAAATTACAAGGAAAATGAAAGAGAAGAAAGAAACTTACACTAACACTGATTTGAGCAGATGATCTAGGGCAGAAAGGGGGCGAAGCGGTACGAAGGAGCTCTGAATGTAGGAGGAGGACTAGGGTAGAGCATAGAGCAGCAGATCAGGACGAACGATCTAGGTATGAACAGATCCGTGAAAGAGCACGATGGAGCGGAGCATTGCAGGGAAACACGAAGAAGACTCTTCCCACTAATAATCGTCGAAGAGGAGGCGGTAATGAAAAATTTTCAAGTTTTTTTCTATTAAGTTTAAATTGTGGGGTTTTATAAGTATTTGATGAATTACTTTTATAAAATATAGAGTTTTGATGATATTTTAATTTATTATGCCACTAATAGATTTGGAAATTAGTGTCATAAAATAAAAAGTGCCACTATGTATTAAAGGTTATAGTGGTATAAAAAAAAGTGCCACTAAAAGTAGACTATAGTTAGGGTCGGTAATTCTCGATACGACACGCGATACGACACGAAATAAACGGGTTTGGGTTGAGTTTTTCAACACGCCAACCCGTCAACCCGTCAATCTGCCAACACGTTTATTAAACGGGTCATGTATGGGTTTCTCAAAAAAATAAATGGTTTGACTCGCCAACCCGTTTATATTTTTAATTAAAAAAATATATTTTTTATTTTTAAATGTATTTATATTTTGACTTGTAGTCCAAACTCATAAGGTTGTAAGTAAGTTTGTAACCAATTGATTTTCCTCATTTTTTCCCTAAATCAAATGGAGTATCGGTGTATGGCTGTATGAGCGATTGAGACATTGAATATGTTTCTATGAATGTTTTTAATTTTTATTTGGATATTTAAGACTTTAAAACTTAAATAGTTAAGTGTTTAAAATTTAGATATGTTTGCATCAACCTTCAAGAATTTATTTATGTTTAATTGTTAATTTCATTTATAGAATCTAACCCACAAACCCGCCAACCTGTGAACCCGTATAAATAAATGGGTTCGTGGGTCATATATGAGTTTATGTTCCAAACTCGCCAACCCGTGACACGCCAACCTGTGACCTGTATATTTAAATGGGTCGTGTTTGAGTTGACATATTTTGACCCACCAACCCGAACACGACACGATTGCCAAGCCTAGCTATAGTGGCACAAAAACAAAATGCCACTAAAACTTTGTGCCACTAAATGTAATTTTATTTGTAGTGTGAGGTGGATCCTACCTCTAATAATGTTGCTTCTAGCCTCCACATTGTTGCGTCGTGCTAGGGATGTCAGCCTCCACATTGTTGCGTCGTGCTAGGGATGTCAACGGGGGCAAACGAGACGGGGATTGCATCCGCCGTCCCCGTCCCTGATTGATTTTGGGCTAACTTATTTGGGCTAAAATAAGTTTTTGTTTGGGCTAAAAGAAACTGTTTTTTGGTTAACAAATAGATATTTATAACATAATTTTACATGTTACAAACAACTTAAAAGCATGTTTTTTCTACATAAAAATCATTTTATTGTTTATTATACTTATATAATTAATATATGTCAATTTATATAATTAATTAACGAGACCCCACGGAGGTTTCGGGACAGGACTACCAACCCCCGCCCCCAAAACTAAAACGTGGGTTAACCTTGCCCCCGCCCCCTCCCCCTTCCCCGATTTTTTTCAACAAATGCCCGCATACAGGACGAGGCCCCCGCGGGATCAGGGTCCCACGGGACTTTTTGACATCCTTACGTCGTGCCTTATGAGTTAGCATAATCCTTTGGGCTAACTTATTTGGGCTAAAATAAGTTTTTGTTTGGGCTAAAAGAAACTATTTTTTGGTTAACAAATAGATATTTATAACATAATTTTACATGTTACAAACAACTTAAAAACATGTCTTTTGTACATAAAAATCATTTTATTGTTTATTATACTTATATAATTAATATATGTCAATTTATATAATTAATTAACGAGACCCCACGGAGGTTTCGGGATGGGACTACCAACCCCCGCCCTCGCCCCCAAAATTAAAACGGGGGTTAACCTTGCCCCCGCCCCCTTCCCCTTCACTGATTTTTTTCAATAAATGCCCCCATACAGGACGGGGCCGCCACGGGATCGGGGTCCCACGGGACTTTTTGACATCCTTACGTCGTGCCTTATGAGTTAGCATAGTCCTTTTTCTCCAGTGATGTTGCATGCGATTTTTGGCTCATAAATCCATAAAAGGTGCTCTACAATGTGCATGGGGATCTCATGGCCATAAAGTTGCCACCTTTATGTCATGAGACCCCTCCAATGACTCAGATCTGAAAGTAGAACCCCATGAATCACTTTACAAATCCAAAAATAGCTTAGGAAGCCCTAAATGCACCCGAAATCTAAGCCCTAAAGATGAACAACCAAATGGAAGACCAAAACATGGGGCATTTACCTTGATTGAGTTGAAGAGGGAATAAGATCTCTGAATCTACAAGCCCCAACTCGAATTCCCAAGCTTCTTCCTTCCTTTCAAGCTTCACAAACCACCCAAAACCACCAAAATGGCCTTAGATCACACAAAACGGCTAGGGTTTCGATATACAGCTTCTTGGGGGAGATAAGGACGAGGGAGGTTGAGTTAAGTCGTTTAAATAGGGTGCAAACCCTCAGATTTAGGGTTTCCCTCATACAGAACCTACTCGCCGAGTCAGTCTCCCGAATCGTCGAGTAGGTCACTTAAAATGCTTGCGGATCACGACCCTACTCGACGAGTTGGGCCACCAACTCGTCGAGTCCCAGAGAAAATACAGAAGTGTTTAAATTAAATGCGTACCGAGAATCAGGTGCTACAATTTCCCTGATCGGATCCACGATCGTCTTGCGGTTGAGAGCATCGATCACCACATTGACCTTTTTTCGGGTGATAAAAGATTTCACAATCATAATCATTTACCACATCCAACCACCAGTGTTGCCTTATATACAGATTAGGCTTATCCATCAGATACCTCAGGCTCTTGTGATCTGTGTAAATAGTATAATGAACCCCATAAAGGTAATGCCGCCAAATATTGAGGGTGAAAACCACAACCCCCATCCAAGTCATGAGTCGGATAATTCGCCTCATGAGGCTTCAGCTGCCTCGAAGTGTAAACGATCACACGACACCTCTGCATCAACACTGCTCCCAAACCCGTGATCGACGCATCACAATAAACCACAAAATTCTCAACACCCTCTCGGTTTCTCACACAACCGTTGCCTGAAGGTCTCAAAAGTCGTCTGCTACTCAGTCCCCCAATGAAAAATAACCATCCTCTTTGTCAATCGAGTCAAAGGAACAACTATCTTGGTTCATATCTAAGTTCAAGAAATTATGGAAAAATTCAAGAAATTAAACACATCTAAGTTCATATAATGAAGTCTAAAACACAACCCCAACTTACAAGGCCATCCACATCTTCTTTAATCTACTAGCCTAAGAAATAGGCAAGGTAAATGAAGATGTAGGCAAACATCAAGCTGCAATTAAATTTGAGAAAATAATTATCCATGGATGAACTTAGATGTGTTTAAATGAATTTTGGATCATTTAAAGAAGTATCAAATAAGAAACTATGCACCTTCATACTTCGGTACGTTGGCATATATAATACCTCGGTTATTAGAGTTTCTTTTGAGGAAAAGGAGAAGTTTTCAGTTGCAAAGATGGAATATCATGCTCAAATCTCAAACAAAAACCAATATGACCAAATTGAAAACAAAAACTTGCTATACAAAATTGAAAATAAAAAATCAAACAATATCACCGGTGTAGAGAGAGAATATCAATGACCAAATGTCCGGTCACCGGTTCCTTGAATAGAGAGGAGAGAGTGGGGGGGGGGGGGGGTATCACATGACCAAATTGAAAACAAAAACCAAATCGATGAAATTGTTAGTGTTCGAAGGGTAGAACATAAGCATAATTTGACAAATTAGGGTTCAACACGTAGAAGATAAGCACAAACATCTAGCATCACAAGGGAAGAGTGGTGAATGTTAGAGGTGGCGATGGTAGTACAACAGGGCTTCCAACATAGAAATAAAACACATATCCGGAGAAAAGCGGGGAGGCCATGGTCTCCCCAGGCTTCTTAAGGGTTTTTGTATACTAGGATATGCATATTTTCTAAATGATATTGTAAATCTTCGTATATGATGGTAAAAACAACTATTAACAAGAAGAAGCCTCAAGACAAAACTAAAGTAGCAAAACAGGGTGTCATAGAAATAGAGGAACCCAAAAAATTAAAGTAGTACAGGGAAAGAACTCATCATGGTTAAATAAAAGAATAAAAAGAAAGCCATAAACCTACAAACCAGCCACTAAGACGTAGTCAGAACCTGTTCTCCATAGGTCGCCATATAATATTAATAGAAGATTTTGAATCATGTTGGACTTGGATCGTAAATGTCTTTCTAGCATAAACTTTCTCCTCGTCCAAAAATTCCGAGGAATCTGTTGCAACTTTTGTTGTTTGCAGCTGATCACCTTTACTTTTCCTAGGAACGAGCTCAGCTCCAACATAATTCCCATTCTTCAATAAATTCCAATCCATGACTTTTAGGGAAAATGAAATCATATTGTATGATGAATTTGGAAACGTAGTGTGCCTCAATGAACCAAAGGAAACGTATCCTATGAATGTCCTTGTTCCATCATATATAGGCTCTACTGCTTCATTAGACTCCCGCAAAAGCTCAAATAGAGAATTTTCTTCATATACCTCTTGCTTCATGACTATATTAATACACGGACAATAGATTTGGGTAACTACACATACTAAGAACCCACAATATTCATTGTACCAATCATCAGGAAGAAGCAGTGTAAATGTTCCCCTAAACAACCTACCCACAAACCTATTTGGAACCTGAGGTTTAAGAATGATATTGATAAAGTAAACTTCAATAGCATTTCCCTGCCATGGAAAACATATTTACTTATAATTCTTAGGTTTGGGTTTTATATGATAATGAGTAAAATTTAAAAGGTAAGTAGAACCAAACCTGGAGCATGGAGTCAAGTAATATGCAACCAACAAGTTTGTTGTTTCCCAGAATTGAGACATTCCACAACCATTTACAGTTTGAAATATCTCCCAAGCTTTCAAGTGAGAAACAACCAATTGCTAAAACAACAGCTATACTTGATGGCAGATCTGACAATTTTACAAGGCCTTGGCAGCATGACACGTCGAGCAGTTTGAGCTGAGGAACTTGCAGGAAACTAAAATTTAATTGTGAAAAGTGATTTCCTGATAGATAGAGTTTCCGCAAGTTGGGTAACTCCCAAACAGCAGAGCCGATTTCTTTATCTCCCAAACTGCAGAAGCTAAGATCCAACTTTCTCAAGTTCTTGAGAAAGAACCGTAACCCTATGTGGTTCATATTGATGTCACGCAAAAAATGCTTCACATTGTTGTGAGGGGAAGAAGGCTCCATTAAACAACATTCAACACCAGGAAGATTGCTGCAACCACACCTCCAACAATTAACAAAAAAGTCTGGACAAGATCCTATAGAGGATGCAACTTCACTCCCACTATTATCATCCAAATGAACATGTGGTAAACTCTCCTTGTTCTCTTCTTGGATCCCTGAGAAATTAAAAAGTTCAGGGCATGCCAAGAACTTAATGGTCTTGAGTTTCTTTAGTCGAGTAACAGGTGGAAACATCTTAAGACGATCACAAAAATTAATACATATGAGAATAAGCTTTTCCAAGCGTCCAATCGATGGATGAATCTCTTTTAAACGCCAACATCTATCAAGAATGAATCTTTCAAGATTTGGAAGTCCATCAAAATCTGGTGTCATGATTAGGTTATCCAATTGACGGAGTTCAATTGTCTTCAAATATGGCAGCAACTGTTGTATACAAGTGCAAGCAACTCAAAATTTCGGCACACACACACACACACACACACACACACACACATATATATATATATATATATATATATATATATATATATATATATATATATAAGAAATGTGTCTCAACTTAGACAAAAACCAATTCCTATGGAAATCATTTGAAGTGTTTGTTTGATAACAATATAAAAAATACTTAATATACACAAAATAATGAAATAGTTTTGAACCCAAATTGTTATAAATGTTTTATAATGGTTATCAATCAACAAAAAATACATTTATATTAAAATCTTACGTAGATAATAATACATTGTTTATCTTTAAAAGGGTATTTATATTGAGCTTTACATGTATACCATGGATTACAATGACTAAGGTGTCTACATCATATCAAACAAGTTATGTATTACCAAGTTTATCGTGATTAAGAGAATAAAGGGTTTGTGCTTTCAATACTAGCTACTAGTTATAAAAAATATAGTTGAAGCTGCTTGATGATATTAACAATTAGTTAGGTCGAACATTCATCGTTCACTTTGTTTTCATGTCTTAATTAGCAGAAAGACAATAAGAATTACCTTATAACCCTCCCAAAGTTGTTTTTGCAAGCTGTTAAACAAAATTAGACGACAAAGCTTCCTTTGTGGAAAATTACTAGGCATAAATTCACCGGCATATTCAATCCACCTAAGGTTCTTCATGTTCGCAGCAATTGGCAGATAAGAATAAGCCATATTGTATCTAACTTTTATTGCTTCAATCATCTCAAGTTCCTATGATAGAGGAAAAATGGTGTGAGGGTTGCAGTAAGAGTGCTTCTTTATACACTTATATTATGAAAAGCTAGCTTAACCATTACCGTAGTTGCATCCATAGCACATATTTTCAGAACGTCTTCCTCCTTCCAGATCCTACTGTGTTTTTCAGGATTGTTAGGGTGTTCCCCTCTAACAATGTGATGTCCCATTTCTTGCACAAGATCATGCATATCAAACTCACCATATTCTGAAATAGTTATGAGAGCCTTTTGTATCAACACCTTTACTCCTATAACCGGATGGAAACCACATTCACCAAGGATCTTCATTGCCTTATCTTTCCGTTCCCTCCTAAAAAAGCATGCAATATCTAGGAACAATTCTTTCTCAATTGGTTTAAGTCCATCAAAGCTGATTTTTAGCTTTTCTACAATATCAGTATCCGGGATCTCTTTTAGTCTAGCTAATGCACTCCTCCACTCATGAATGTCTTTGTCGCAAAGAAAAGAACCAAGAACTGTAAGTGCCAATGGAAGCCCACCAGCATAAGTGATCACCTCTTTTGAAAGATGGTCATAATCTTCCACAGGCCTCTTATCCCGGGGTGCATGCTTGTAAAAGAGCTTAATAGCTTCATCACTGTTTAACAATCTAATATTGTATACTGCATTTACTTTGTGTGCGGTTAATAAATGTTTATCACGGGTTGTTATTATTATTCGGCTTCCTTCACCAAACCAATCATGTGATCCAGCTAGTGCTTTTAACTGGTCGAGGTTATCGACATCATCTAAAACAATCAAGACCTTTCTGTGGCGAAACCTATTATTTATCAACCATCTTCCTCCTCCAGCTCTGTTTACTCCCATTTCTGAAAGAATTTTTTCTTTCAATTTTCCCAAACCATACCTGCCTGATTCCTCTCGAATATTTTCAACAAAGCAGCAGCTGTCAAACTTGGTAGAAATTTCATTGTAGATAGAAGATGCAAGAGTAGTTTTACCACCACCCCCAACCCCCCATATTCCAATCATGATCACACCACCTGACCCAATTTGTAACTCCAATTTCAAACCTTGCAAGCGAGCATCAATTCCGATCAAATTCTCATTTGCACTTGAAGTTGCTGGCTGCAACTTCCATGAAATTTCGACTACAATTTGTTTGATGCCTTTTGCTTCATGCCTACACATTGGACATAAAAGGATAATTAACACCTGCTCACATAGAAAAAAAATTACTCTATGAAATAAAGAGACCAAGTCCTAATTACCTTTTACTTTTCACATCCAAACAGAATTTGTAAAATCAATAACACAAGTAGTTTGTAGCAACTTTCTTGGGAAGAAGGAATAGTTTCAAATTGCAAAAAGTAAAGCTACATGGGTTTGTTGTCGTAACTTGAAGAGAGGTGTCATGTACGAATTTAGAAATAAGAACATAATAGATTACATCACAGCTTAATTTGAGCTTATCCATAATCCTAGGACTTGGGATGCCTTTTAACTTGGCCACTAGCATACGAAAACACATTTACTTGAGCATCTTATAATCTTGAACAGAAAACATATTTGGCTCAAAACAAGTGATGTAGTCAAATCCTCTCTGTTTATAAAGTCATCAATTTCACCAAGAAATATTAAAACGAAGACAAATTACCCATTGGCAATGTGTTTGGGTTCCCATCCAGAAAGGTTACTTGCATCCACGAGTGCTTTTCTCCAAGATTCAACCTTGGTTTTGTTGTCCAACTCGTGTTTAGCAAACACTTCTCCGTATTTCCGTTTTGGTTTTCGTACTTGAGCAGGATCCACGTCATAAAATATAGGCATAACAATCTGGCCTCTCGTATCCCTGCATTTCATAATATATGAAAGTTCATCCAGACACCACGACGAATCACAATAGTTTTTTGAAAATACAATGATGGCTATCTGTGATTCTTCAATAGCCTTCATAAGGGATGGGTGGATCGATTCGCCTCGGGGAAGTGTTTCGTCGTCCTTGTAAGCAAAGATACCTTCTTGTTCAAGAGCCGAGTAGAGATGGCCCACAAAAGTATTTCGAGTATCTTCTCCTCTGAAGCTAAGAAAAACATCGTACTTCCAGAACACAGAAGAAAAGGCGGGAGCGGAAGGAGAAGATGATGGTGATACCATCAATGCGTTGACTTATTGAGATAGAAGATATGTGGTTTGAGCACCTCAATGAAAAGAACTTTATACAGAGAGATGTGAGTTTCCAGTATAACCTGTTATCATGTTGGAAAACCTGTAAGAACTCAAAATTGAACAGGTTACCATGTAGAAAATCTCATAACCAGTCCTTACATTTTATTTTTCATTTCTGGTCGTAAAAACTCCTTTGAATGTATAATAGAAGTTACAGTTCTAAAGATAGGCATGAAACAATTTAGGTAATGTGAGTTAGTTTTTCCACATTCACATTGTAAAAACTAATGTTTTACTCTATATTCTACTTTGAGATTCTTCTTAAAAGAAGTGGAGGAGATTTCTGGGCAAAACCAAATTTTAGCAAACTCCCTTCCCGAACTCTGTACTTTGCAAGCTCATACATTAATTTCCATGGGAAAATAATGAAAAAGTAATTATAATTCCATACGGTTCATTTGCTATGATGGAATGGAATGAACAAGGTAATAGAATAGATCATTACATTTTATAGTCATGTTAGGTTGGCTCAAAATAATGGAATGAATTATTCGAACATAATTTTTTGTTATGGATTAGATACAAAACTAAATATATTAACTTGATTAATTAAACGTGTTATTTTATTTAATCAAATAAAGGTATTCTTAAATAAATTACATATAAGCATATTTCATTTCGTTTAAAATATATGCTATATGTATTTCAAATAGTTAGAAAAGAAATTATATATCAATTACAAAATTGTTTTCACACTTAAGATTACCATAGAATCTTAAAACATAATTACAATATTGTTTACAAACAGCCTCTCAAGTTCATGCTAACTAAGGGTACACTAATACACTCCATGAAATTCAATCGAAATGGTCTTATGTAATTTTTTAGTTTAGCAGACCATCAATATACAACAAAGTTACTTAAGTCTGGATTTCCTAAGCACTACCACTTTCATCTTCACCATTCTGATCCTCTAGAAAACTTCACACTCGCATCAATGGTGCCTAGATCCAATTCTCCTTGGAGCTCAAGATATATGTTCACATTTATAATTTGATGTCAACATTTATCTCTTGTAATACAAAAGGACATATATAGCCTTTAAAGAAACTTTACTAGGTCACTATATTACAATTTTTATAATTTTACCATCTATTAAAATTCAGACTCGTAATCATCATTAATTATAAGTGTATTGATTATAAGTCTCTATCGGTTTCACAAGGCTTAATTTATGAACTTTTGCTTTCCCATTACACCAACACCTATAACTTGTATCCGATTTAATAAGGTTAAGTTGAAACTCGCCAAAACGTCCCAACAATAGATCCTCTACTTATGTTTACACCAAATCAATATTTTCATCACTAACCAGAATCAATTTGAAACAACACAATTGGTAGTCAGTAAACGTCCTAACACCTTTCGACAAACACACATCACTACAACACGGACCCGTTTCACTTTCTTTTTGTATCCACAACACATACACACATCATTAGTCATCATCCTCCAAATTCCATTCATTTATAACATACACAACAGCATATTAACCTAACAGATTATTTAATTTGATCATCTAACTACACTAATTCTAAATCTTCACAACTTCCATTTCTTTCATGGTAACTTATAATTCATCAATTTATCAGTTTGAAGAATGTACCTCAGATCCCGTGAAAAATCAAACTTTAGCAGAAACCCTTTGTAGCCCTTTACTCTGCAAGCTTATACTTCATCTCCATAGGATTCCTTAATTTATTCTTTTAACTTGGATCGATTTGAGTAGGTAGGTACCGTTGACTCTTTTCTATCATTTCTTCATATCCATTAACGAAAGAGTGAAAACAATAAGAAAGTAATTATATATTTACTCTCATCTCTCTGTTGACTCTCTGATCGATCACAGCCTCAATATATATGTGCTCCAGTTATTCATTCTTCTATTACTTAATTAGGTGGTTTTCTCTTGTCTCTATTTGATTAAAGATAACTTATATTGGTAAACAACGACTAATAATTATAAAATGATAAACTATAACTTAAACATTAAACCATTGGTTAGTTAGTTATGGTTATTAATTGGTAAGCTTAATTAACGTTCTTAACAATTAACTTTATTTTCCTTGATAGTTTGTAAGAAAGTTACATAATATTAATAATATGAGTGATCAATTCTTAAATGATAATTCAGTAACTTATGTAGATAAAAATATTTTTTTAAAGTTCACGATAAAGATACACGGACCACTTTCAACATAGGAACATAAGACGAGAGCAACTGTATACTACTTTTTTGATATTAAGTGTCTTTTTTTAGACAATACATTTTTTTTTCTTAACTTGCTTCAGTGTCTCAAAAAATAGATCCTCAACCTATCTTTACACCCAAACGATTTTTCATCACTAACCTGACCTGATTTAAAATACCACAAATGGTAATCAGTAAATGACTAATAATGAACTTCCAAAAGTATTTGGTGCTTAAACATAGTAATACAAGAATTCAATAGTCATTTTCCAAATTCCATTCATTTATAACATACATAGAAGCATATTAACTTCACGGATTATTTAATTTGATCATCTAACTACAGCAACTCAATAACTTCACAACGTTGACTAAATTAGGTCAAAATACGATTATCACAACCCGGATCAACATTTTTTTAACCCACTGATAAATTTTACTTAATAACTTATAGAAAAATTCATTAACACTTCCATTTCTTTCTCGGTAATTTATAATTAATCAGTATAACAGTTTGAGGAACGTACCTCAAATTCCCAGCAACGTCACACTTTAGCAAACACCCTCTCTAAGCTCTTTACTTTGGAAGCTTATGCTTCAATTTCCAATAGATTTCTTCTAATAATTTTCTAAGCATATACCTTCCCTTCATCATTGACTCGTTTCTCTCCGTTCTTCATATCGATTAACGACGGAGTGATAATAACAAGAATGTATTTATAATTCATATCGATCAGTCATCACAATTCTACACACTATCACCTTAAACCCTTAAAATGTGAAAAATATCACAAAACACCAAAATATTAGGAAAATGTTTTTTTTAATAAAATTAACATATTTTTTACATAAATGATCACATATTTTATTACGGGATCATGTAAAATAGGGGTGAGCATGGTGCGGTTTGGTGTGGTTTTCAGACCAAACCGAACCGCAAACCGCATGGTGCGGTTTTTGCATTCCTAAAACCGTTGGGTGCGGTTTTGCAATGGTTCGGTTTTTCGGTTTTTAAATGCGGTTTCGGTTTGTATCGGTGCGGTTTCGGTTTTTAAACCGTGTTAAGAATTTGGTGCAGTTTTTTTTATGTTTTTTTGTGCGGTTTTTTAAAACTGTAAGAACTGAAAACCATGTGCATATAAGCTTGTATTGTGCTGTTTTTTTAATACATTCATTTTCAGCTCAAAACAAAATTACATAATCAAAAATTGTAAGTCGCTTAAAATACAACTTGTGACCACTCTCACAAACTAATTAATGATTGAAGGTTGGTTGATTTTGAGTTAATTTGTTACAAGCTTATTACATGTAATCGATTGGTACGTTTGGCTAACAATAGAACATTTCTTTTGCACCCCATATAGTTTTATACAAACACAAAATAAACATATAATAGATATATTATCGTTTATAACTATTTTCAATAGAATGTATATAATATACATTGATTGATTTATTACTATACATGCTTGCGGTGCGGTTCGGTTTTGATGGACCGGTTTTTAGGATAGAAACCGCACCGCACCGTTGACCTTCGGTTTTTGCAAAAATTAAATCCGCACCATTGGTTTTTGCATCGGTTTCGGTTTTTCGGTTGCGGTTTTGTCGGTTTTTCTTTACTCGGTTCGGTTTTTGCTCACCCCTAATGTAAAATCATCATTTGCTATGATTTCACATTTTTAAATGATTATACCACCAAAGATTAAAGATAAATAAAAAGTCATGTCTTCAAATATTGCGAAATATATAATATTCCATTTATTATTTTTTTTTGAATTTTTTAGTAATGCACACCATTGAAAAAATGAATTTTGCAGCATATATATATATATATATATATATATATATATATATATATATATATATATATATATATATATATATATATATATATATATATATATATACACACGAGGGTTCAATTGAGAAAAAAAAAAGGTTGAGAATTGGGGAATCATTCTCAGCCAATCATTTATTTTTGCCGCAAAAACCTCCAACGTACTGGCGGAAATGAGAAAGGAATGCACATGTGTTTTCCAACAAAACATGTTTACTATGCTAAGCATTACCTTAATATATACAAAAACATAGTTTTTTCATTTTATTTTAAATTTTTAAGAAACTATTTTTATCGAAAAATGATTTTAAATACCAAAATTCATGATTTTTTATTCTCTACAAATAGACATTCATATTGATATAGTTTTAATATAAAATAAAAAATTTATTTTTTTATATTTTCAGCTATCGTTATTCATAAGTGAATAAAAATGAATCTGGTTTTTACTACAGTCCATTCGTTATTCACTTATGAATAAAAACTATGATTAATTTTTTTTTACAATTTAAGTATCATTCATATATGAATATAGCATATACCAAACATAGTATATTCATATTTAAATATTAGACGATGCATTCACTTGTGAATATTACATAATATATTTACTTGTCAATGTTAGATGGTGTATTCACTTATAAATATTATATGATATTTTCATATGTGAATATTATATAGTATTACATGGTATATCACATGAGAATAGTACATAGTATATTCACTTGTGAATATTAGATCGTATATTCACTTATGAATAATAGTTGGTATATGTAACGCCCCGTTCTTAAAGTATTTATTTATGAGTCCCCGATATTTAAGAGGAAGGGTATTTTGGTCTTTTTATGGGAAATGGGTTTCATCCAAGAAGGTTTCGGACCAGGGTATGTATCTAGAAGC